GGAGAGAAAAAAAAAAAAGCTTTTCTTGTGTAATAAAATACACTGGCAGTGGAACACAGAGATGATATGCATTAACTTCAGTAACAAGATTTGTGAAGAAGGACTGAGAGATTGGCAGAAAGCAGGAGTTTCCTGGGTGGCCTCTCTTCAGGTACTTGCATTCCAAGAATTGAAATCATAATCTCAGCTCTGTTTGTGAATAAGGAAAGAGAGATACCTTCTGATCTTAAAATTAGCAAATGTATAACTTTATATCTAGGATGAATTAGGAAATCTGCATGAATGTACCCATAGTGGCTTTTCTCCTTGTGGCCAGCACATTGCAGCCTACAAATGAAATGGCTTTTAGCGTTCAACATTATTAAAAGAAAAAATTACTAAGTGTAGGCCAAAACTGTAAACAGTGTCAGGAAACAGCAAACAAAATAAGATGGCTGAACATGAAACAGTAACAGAGAGTCTGGCAGTCTGCTCTGTTTGACCATGGGTTTTCTGAGAGTAGGATACCAAACAGCTTCTAGCACTTGCTTGTCACTCTCCTTGGTGTCACACACTTTCCTCCAAAGTGGCAAGTAAAGCTATATGACTTTAATGATGATGGAAATAAGAAGACTTGGTAACACTCCTTGTGCAAGAAATGGCTTGATTCTCTTCATCACCTTCATTTAAGTGTATCAAAGGCAACCCTCAAGTCACAGTAATAGAAACTTGTTTGCAAAGGCAGAACTCAGACAGTAGATGTGGTTAGGAACTCTTGCCTTTTGTAGGATATGGTTCAGAAGATTCTTTTGGGGAAGGGCTCAAAAGGGAATCCTTCTACCTATTAAATACTGAAATGTGGGGGAGAAATCACTTAGTTTTATTTCTCCCATTTTTGTCCTGTCTTCTTCTTTTCCAGGAGATAGGAACAAATATAGTCCCAGAACTGCCTGTGGAGCAAATGGTAAAATTCAGTGTCACTCTCACTGATCAGGAGTACAGAGCTGAACTTAATGATCCCAACTCTCCACAGTACCAACAACTAGCTGCCAAGTTTCAGTTACAGGTAAGGAGGCTGGGTGAATGTGAAAATGTTGGCTTTGTATCTTGGCTGAGATTCTTACTATGAAACATGAAACAAAATTAGAATCTACTGCCCTCATTTGAAATCAATA